TTGTACGAGAATTTGGATCAGACACAGTTGTCACCTCCCCTCTCCACCACTGGAGACCAGGCTGGGCTGCACAGCCTCTGCTCTGGACTCTGTTTTTCCATCCTCAGGGAATGTTTGGCTCCCTCTGGAGAGAATGAGGCTGAGTTGTGCCAGAGCAAACACCTTTTAGCTGAAGTGAACCTTGAGGGTTCGCTCCTGGAAAATCCCAGTGCTCTGTGTGCTGGGAAGGTGAGTTGTTTGTGCCAGTCAGGAATTCCAGCATGCAGCAATGATCCCACTCTCTGCATGTTTTTTTTTAAATCAATGGAGAAGAAACACTGGTTTGAAAAGCCACTTTGAAAGCTTTGCAGCTGCTCTGGATCCCTCAGCTGGTCACAAAGGGCAGAGCCACCAAGGTTTGACACTTTCCAAGGGGAGTCCTCCATGGTTCGGATCCCTTGTGGTCTCTGGGTGGGATTTTCAAGCATACCAAATCCAAAGAGAAGGAGTTTTAAGCCTTCCCTACATCCCTTTTAAGCCCAGGAGTGCAGTGATTTGCAGGACAACTTTTACACTCCCCTGGGGCTGAATTTCAGCCCCATCTCCCCCCCTCTGCCCCTGCCCATCACCCTTCAGGCTCTCGTGTCCTGCCTCCCGGGCTTCTGGAAGCTTTGGAAAACATCCTCCTGTTAAAGAGGCATTTTTCCCTCTGTGATCCCTCCCTCCAGGTCTGATGGCTCACACGGGGATGTTTCTGTGCAGCAGTTGTTTTACACTTCCCTGCTGTGCCCGGGTCAGTGGTCACTCTTTATCTTCTGTAAACATTCAATAGCTGCTTTTCTAAACTCTGCCTGATTCCTGTAAAAATGGATTTCTTGTCAAAGACTCTTTTACAAAAAAAAAGAAAAAAAATAACAAAAAACCAACCCCACAACAACACCAAACCAAACAAAACCCCCCTAAGGGTTCACTTTTATTATTTTTTCTTCCCAGTCTCTGTCATTATCTGCTGCCTGCTCCTGGATTTCACTCCCAGCACTCAGCTGTTGCTCTGACTTTATTCCCAAGAGGTTCTGGCTGCACCACTGCTGGATTAGGGCCGGCCTAAAACCCCCTCCCCGTGGCCTGTGTCTCATCCTCTGCTTTTAGATGCTTTTCACACAGCTCTGACCTGCTTGGCTGTGACCAGGGGGAGGTGTTGGGATGGAGATCTCACTCCTTGGAGGAGCAAAGAGCTCGATTTTGGGAGCTTTGGGCTGGGAGATGGGATTTTGGGATGGGATGAGCCTTGTGGTGCCAGCAGGGGCAGTGAGGTCTGGCCATGGCAGGGGCAGGGAATGAGAGGAGCTTCAAGGTCCCTTCCAGCCCAAACCATTGTGGGTTTAACACGGAGCACAGAACCCCAGGCTGGTTATATTTTGGGTACTGAGCTTCCCTTTGCTCTGGGGGGGTGGAAGGAATTCTCATCTAAGAGCCATTAACTGGGAAATGTGAGAGGCACCGTTGATGTTGCTTAATGATGCACACGAGGCTTAAAACCCTTAGATCTGTTCAGCAAAAGTAAAATCAGTTTTGTTTTTTCTGGTTTTTTTTTTTTTGCTCCTGCAATTTTGCATCTCGTGTTTCAGGCATTAGGAAGTATTTCACGCGTCGTTTATTCACAATAAATTAAAAATCCTGAAACATGACACTGCTGTGAATGTAAAATGGGTTTTATTGCTGCTTTGCTGGGTGACTCTTCCTGCTGCAAGAAGGGATTAAGATCAGAACTAGTTTGCTTGGTGTACTCAAATATTTTCTTTTAGGGGTATTTACAGTGGGTTAAAACAAACTAATTAGTGACCAGCTCTGTTCTGCCATGGCACTTAAAATTAGGGGCTGATTTATTCTTGGTTTTGCACAGGGCACAATGGAGAGAAAAATGGCTCTGGGGGCTGAGAGCAAGGAGGGAACAGTGGGATAAGAGGGTGTCCAAGCTGTGGCTTGGTGGTGTCTTGGAAATGCAGATCAATTGTTGTGTTGATGGAAATGAAAGCTAAAAATATAAGATATCCATTTATTGACTTATATTTATTACACTGAATTTATTACATTATTATATATATTTTATATATATATTTAAATATTATATATATTTAAATAATATTTATTGTAACACTTTATTATATTTTATTTTGTTGTTTGTTAGACAAGTTCAGTGCACGTCCTCAGTTTTTATGTTGGGGAGGGCAAGGAATGACTATTCCTTGCTCAGTCTCCACACACCTTTTAAGACTGAAATGGTCTTTGCCATATAATTCTCTCCACTGGCCTTTTGCTCAGTCCAGGGAATCTCTGTAGCTCTTGTAGGATCCTTCACTCTGCCTGGTTCAGGTGCATCTCCTTGTTCCAAAGGGTTTGGCTGCCATGGAGGAACTTCTTAGGCTGTGAAAATACATATATATATATATCTTTTAACTTATTTTTTATTGTTTGATCTTTGGTCCTACTTTTGATGTCCTCCTTGTGGTTGTGCTGCTGTGTCAGAGCAGATCTCCCCGGGCTCTCTGCAGTCCCTGTCCTGGAGAACAGGGTGATTTAATATCTCTTCCTGTGTACACGAGGTACAGACTCTTATTTCCATGTGCATTCCCTTGTAATGACAGCCCTGAATTCCATCCACCCTTTTATTGCCCTTCAGATCTTCCCCAGCAGCAGTAATTGGATTATCCTGGTTAAATTCCCTGTCAGCTCCGTGCCTGCCCCCTCTGCCAGAGCTCCTCTGATAATTCCTAATATTGTTTGCAGGGCCTCATTTAAGAGGTCAGAACCTGCCAACGTGCCAAGCTCCACTTGGTGCAGACTCAGATGGAAATCTGGGCTGTGTTTTATGGCACCAATGCCTCGTGTGTCTGGATTTTTTCCCCCCCTCTTTAGAGTCGTATCTGCTCAGTGTGGAGGGTGGGAAATAAAGATCTTGGCACAAACAGAAGTGAAAACTCAAAACAGCGACAAAAAACCACCCATAAAGATGGGAAATGGGTAAAGGATGTGGCAAACAACTGGTGAATATAAAGGGTAATGTTAGAAAAACAGGAGCTGTTTTAAGCTGAAGAGACAAAACTGCCTCAATATCTGATGTAATGACTTGGAATAACTCAGGGATTTATGAGGATATGATGGTGTAGGAAAAGGGTGGAATTATTAGTGCTGGTAATGATGGAGAAAGAAATGCTAAGAGCTGGGCATAAATAGGAAATGAGCCAGGGCTGGAAGGGCATCCGGGGAATATCCGGGATGTGGTGAAAACATGGGATGGGGATTGCTGGGAGCTTGTAACCATTGATGTGTCACCTGGGTGAGTTCAAAACTGCAGGAGGCAGCTGCTGGCACCTCTCAGTGGCTCAGCACAGCTGCCCTCGTGGAATCCTGGAATCCCTGAGGCTGGAAAAGCCCTCCCAGCCCATGGATCCCCCCTGTGCCCGATGCCCACCTTGTCCCCCAGCCCAGAGCACTGAGTGCCACGGCCAGGCCTTCCTGGGACACCTCCAGGGCTGGGCACTCCAAACCTCCCTGGGCAGCCCCTGCCAAGGCCTCACCACCCTTTCCAGGCAGAAATTCCTCCTGAAGAGTTCTTTGATCCGTGGTTCCCTCCTCCATCCATGCAGGAGGAACACTGTGGGGTTGGAGATGGGGGAAGAGCCACGTTGGACCTTGGGGACATCCAGGGAATCCACACCCTGATGTGTTTGAGACACTTGGGATGGGGAGCACCAAGCCAAGGAGGGGGATGTTGAGTCTCCAGGGAAGTGAGATGGACACCAAAATCTTGGCTGCTCCATTGCTTTTCAGGGAAAATGGGCTTGAGGAACAAGGAGAGGTATCAGAAGCTCTTTGCAGGAGGAGAATCAAGGAATCCCAGACTGGTTTGGGTTGGGAAGGACCTTAAAGCCCATCCAGTGCCACCCCTGCCATGGGCAGGGACACCTTCCACCAGCCCAGGTTGCTCCCAGCCCCAGCCTGGCCTTGGAAGCAGCAGTTTCCCTCCCATTTAACTTTGAATTCAGAAAGGCTGGTGTTACTCAGCAGAGGAAGAAGGTTTATCATGTGCAATAACCCTGGTTTTGTGAGGTATCATCATGTTCAGGAACATTTCTATAATCAAAACCCAGGTTTAGTACATTTAGTACCTGTTTGGCCTCTCCTTAAAGTTATAGAGCCAGCCCTGGTTCTGCCAGTGAAATGTGGGGCCTTGAGGGTTTATTTTTTTAGGGTATAAAACTGGGAGCTTTGGCTGTAAAACATAAAAAGGGGGAAATCCTGCTCGAAACACTGAATTTGATTTCGTGCTGGAGTGGCAGAAGTTACATTAGACATGTTTTCACAATGGTGTGTGCACTAAAAGTGGTAAAATTCCCCCCAAAGCTGGGAGGGTGTGGTGTAACCTACAGGGTGGGCATAAAAAGCAAGAATTTGTGACATGAAACCACCTGAGCTCTACAGGCCAGTAAATTTGCTGTAGTATAAGGATTTTCTTCCTGGATCTTGACTCGTAAAACAAGTAGAAAAATCCCTTTCAGAAGCTCATGTGAGTTCTGCTTCCATGGGCAGCCATGGATTTATTTCCCAGGCCTTTCCCCACCCTCTCCCTTCATCTGTGTGTTTACAACCTCTTCCATAATTATAATCATTATCTCTAATTAGCCTTTGAGTACCTGCTGAGCGTTTATTGTCCTAAACACCAAATCCAGGTGTAATTAAACCCTGAGTGGCCCCTGGTCTGGGATTTCCCGATATCCCAGAGGAATGAGCAGCGACCGTGGGTTGGAAGAGTTGAACGTGTTGAAGGTGTCAGGAACCAACGGTGGAACTGAGAATTTAGGAGGATTTCCAGGGGCAGTAACAGGAATCACGTGTTGAACCTGGCTGTGTCACCCACAGCTTTTATTTATTTATTTAGTGAGTTTTCTGCACAGCCACAGAACAATTTCAGCTGTGAAAGCACCTCTGGAAGTCCTAATTCAGCCCCTGCTTCCAAGCAGGGAGAAGGAACGTCCAAGCTGCATCAGGCTGGTGATTTCCTTTCCCAGCTGATTTTTGTTCAGTTTATGAGGGTGGAGGTCACATCTATTTTTGGAGCCTCTCCTGATGATTAAGGAACCTCAGTGATACTAATTTTTTTTTCTTCCAACATCTTGGAATTTTCCTTGTTGCAAACTGAGTTGGTTATAATTGAGATGTGGGATTTTTTACCTTTTTTTTTACCTTTTTTTTTTACCTTTTTTTATTTACCTTTTTTATTTACTTTTTTTTATTTACCTTTTTTTTTTACCTTTTTTTTACCTTTTTTTTTTACCTTTTTTTTACCTTTTTTTACCTTTTTTTTACTTTTTTTTACCTTTTTTTTACCTTTTTTTTTTTACTTTTTTACTTTTTTAAACTTTTTTTACTTTTTTTTACTTTTTTTACTCCTTTTTACTTTTTTTTTACTTTACTTTTTTAACTTTTTTTTTATTTTTACCTTTTTTTTTTTTTACTTTTTTTTTTAGGATTTTCCTGTTGGTGTTTTAAGTTAAAGCCTCACCTGTCCAGCCTTGACCTTCACAAAGACCACGTGGAAGGGGAAGGTGTGGGAAGGATTTTCCTTTTCCCTGGAAGTGTCCAAGGGCAGGTTGGAAGGGCTTGGAGCAACCTGGGATAGTGGAAGGTGGGGGTGGGAATGAGATGGTCTTGAATATCCCTCCCAACCCAAACCAGTTTCTGATTCCATGGAGTATCTGGGGGGTAAAAGGAAGGAAAAAGCCTTTTCAAGGTAAAACTCATTGAAGAGCTGAACTTTTAATGCACTTAGACTGAAATTTTCAATTATTTTCTTGCTGTTGAAGTAGTAAAACTCAGTAATAAAGCTCTAGGCCAGTTTTTTCTACTCTGGAGAAATTCAGGGATGGTGGAAGGAGGTGTCTGATGGGGTTTAGTGGGAAGATCCCTTTATTTTGGGGCAGTTTGCTTTTGGTTTGCCGGGTTCCATCAGTGTCAGCACCACGGACTGGTGGGACCTGCCTGGTCCTTGGATCATCCCAACCCCAGCTGGAGCTCCTGGATGGAGAAATCCCCCAACAAGCAGCACTGAACACCCCTGGTGCTCCCAGTCTGGAGCTACACACTCCAAATAAGGCAAACTTCACACAGTTTTTGTGGGGGTTTGTGTTCCCTGCTGAATTCCCTGCTGGGTTCTAGAGGCCAAGCTTTCAGTCCCTGTTGTGTCAGGAAAGGAGGTGGCCAGTCCTGGGTTCTGGGAGAGCTCCCACTTCCTGGAAATGCTGGACAGCTCCTGGCCCCCTTAACTCCGAGGTTTCTGCAGGATAAGTCTGGTTTAGATATTTCCTCCCTCTACAGAGGGTTAGAACAAGATGGTTTTTTAAATCCTTCCGAACCCAAAGCAGGGGCTTGGAAGGAGATGTGCTTTAAATCCTTCCCAACCTCAATCTCTCTGCGATTCCATGATTTCCAAGTCATTGAAATATCCTGAAATAAAACTGCTGCTGTTTGAGCCCTGGGGGACAGTCTGAGAGTCATCCATCCTCCTGTGCAGCTGGCAGAGGAGCAGCTCCTCCAGCAATGATCCTGCTAAAGGGGTGTATCCCCCAGTGCCCAGCCTGGAATAAATCCCTGAGATATTGGGATGGTGGAGTTATTGAGCTGTAACCCACAGCAAGCACCTGATCACCCCTCAGGAGCCATCCTGGGGGGTTTGTGGCCTAAACACACACTAAAATATCTTCAGATTGTTGAAGGGATCAGTGATGGGCTGGATCCGGGGCACAGGGTCAGGTTGGTGATTTACTGGGGGGTGTGTGTGGGGGGAGAAACAGAACTACCACAAACTTGATTTTTCTGGGAGTGCCAGGAGGAAATCCTGAGCATTTCCCACATGTCAGTGGGCTGTTGGAGAGGATACAGGAAAATCCCTGTTTTCCCTCTGCTCAGCCATCCTGTCAGTGGTTCCAAGGCAGTGCCAAAGGTGGTGGTTTCAGAATTAACTCCTCTGTCAGACTCTTCTCCCTTGATGAGCAGCGAGTTTGGCCTTTGTGCAAAGGGCCATTCCAGGTGCTCTGGAGTCATGGAAGGAGCAGGAAATAATCCCTGAATTGGGCTGCTGGTTTTTAGGAGTCACAGAATCCTGGAATGGTTTGGGTTGGAAGGACCTCAAAGCCCATCCAGTGCCACCCCTGCCATGGGCAGGGACACCTTCCACTGTCCCAGGTTGCTCCAACCTGGCCTTGGACACTTGCAGGGATCCAGGGGCAGCCACAGCTTCTCT